TATTCAATATCTTTATGATAAAAATGCTTAGCCTTTAAAGCATTATGGAGCAAAAAATTATAACGATGGTTTTTGAAATCAAAAAAGTTATCTATTTGCCAAAAACTTTCACTTTTTTTAATTCCTTTTTTAGTCAATCAAATATCATTTTCTTTTTGGTCAACTTTATAATCCTTTTTTTCGATCAAGGAGTTGGCTAGTTTAGTGGCTAACTGATATTCAGCAGGACTAATAACATTTCCTCCTCGGGATCGTTGGGAAATGATGAGAGGATTAGTGCATTCATCAATAAAAAGCGAATCAATTTCATCCGCAATGGCATAATAATAGTCTTGTTTTTTTGCTTCCTCAATACTAGTTATTAAATTATTGCGTAAATAGTCAAATCCTAACTCGCTGCCAGTAGTGTATATAACGGTACAATCATTATATAATTGCTTTTTTTCCTCTGTGGAGAGGTTGGTTAAATTAACTCCTGAACTAATTTTAAAGAAGTCAAGAATCGGCTTGGCTAGGTTTCAATCCCGCTGAGCTAAATATTCATTAACGGTAATGACAAAAACAGTTCTTCCTAAGAGGGAATTAAGGCAAATTGGCAAAAAGGCAGTGAGAGTTTTTCCCTCCCCCGTGTTCATTTGGGCAATATTGCCATAGTGCAAAACTATTCCTCCAAATATTTGGGTAGGGAAGAGCAAAAGCCCGGTTTTTCGATAAATGGCTTCTCGCATCAAAGCAAAAACTGGAACTAAATATTTATTCAACTTCTTTTCAGAGTCTTTTTCCTTACTAAGGTGAATTTTTTTTCGATAAATTTCGAACTTACTTTGCAATTGTTCATCAGTTAACAACTTAGTTTTTTTTCTTAAATTGACTATCTTATTTTTAAGTAAAGTAAATTTTTTTAAAGTGCTTTTTTTTCAGAAATAATAGAACATGTTATATAAGTAATTTTTTTAATAAGAAACTTAATGTAACATTCTAATCATTTTATCCCAGGAATTAATCAAACGATTTACTGGATAAAAAAAGTCCTAGCAACAATAGGCTGAAAAGCTGAGTGTAGAACAATTGACACTTTTGATAAAGAAGGCAACGGAAGTAGTTAACCGTTTTGGTCAGTTGTGGGATAAGACTTTAAAAGCAATACTTAATCATCAGCAAATTGACTTAATCATTGTAATTTATCATACAAAAAAAAAGTCAGAGTCTAAATTGATAATTTGAACTCCCCACCAAGTAAGGAGTTTGGGTTTTCTACTTTTTTTACAAAGAAAGAGTTATTTTTCTTAATTTTTTTCAGTTTTTTAACTGTTAAGAAGAATGGAAAAATCTAACTCTTTCGAAAAAATAAGGGTGGGGAGAGTAAAGTAAACTTTACACATAATTCCCCACCAATCTCAACCTGGGAATTATGGAGAAAGTTTACCATTTTTAGAGCAAGATAAGAGTTTAGTAATCCGTTTAGTATTCTAATTAGATCCTTTTAACCTCTTTACTTAAAAATGTTTTTCTCCTTTTTTCCTTATAATATTAATTTTAGATTTAGAAAATAATGGAGGGCAAAAAAGATTGGGCTAAAGTATTTAAGAGAATTAAATTTGCTAAGATAAGTTCAGGAGGATTATTAGATGGGTTAGAAGTGTGAATGTATTATCCGGGCGAAATTCCCAGTATTAACTCTGAACTTCCCGAAGCAGATTATTTTCATTTAGATACCGACTTGCTATTTAAATTTCTAAAACAGCATGTTCTGACTGAACCCAATCAAATTTGTTTTCCAAGAACTTGTTGAAAACTTCATAGAATTTTAAAGTAAATAAATTATGCAATGTAAAGAATGCAAAAGAACATTTCCCCTTTCGCAAATGGTGTCCAAAACTTGGCAGAAAACTGTTCCAAGTGGAAGAGTCATTGAAATGAAAGGTTGGAGATGTTTTTTTTGTGCTTAATTAAAGAAAATTATGGGAACAACGACAGAAATAAAAAAAACTAATATCGGAGATGCATTAATTAATAAAGAATGCTATGTATGTAAAAAAAAAATCACTGAAAAAGATGTCTGCGAAGATAGTAATTGGGGAGTTGATTTTGATACTTCTAATGAGGTAAAGATTGAAGATAACCAAATTAAGGAATATGGATACAATATTACTATTTGAATAAGAAATGTTTATCACGAAAGATGTGGTCAATCGGAAGAAGCAATTAAAGAAGAGGAAGAAAAGAAAAAAGAGCAATCAGAAAATAAGGGCGGATTGCATGGGACAAATATTGTAATGGATAACTTGATGGAAAGTCAGTGGAGACATGTTGAAGTAATGAAAAAATTAGAAAAGAATAATAAAAATGACAGAAAATAAAGAGGCGTTATTAAATGAAATATTAGAGTGAGCTAATAGCAATGAGACAAAAAGTCAAAGCGTAAACGATTTAGCTCATTATCTCTTTAAAATCAACGAAGCTAAGCAAGCCAGAGAAAAAAATATCGAGATAGAAAATCAGTGAGATGAATGAAAAAAAGAAAAGATAAACATAATTATTAAAGGAATTAGATAAGTGAAAATGAGGGACTTATTCCCATTATAATCAAGCCCTAATCAAAAGAGTTTCGATCAATGTCGTTTATTTGTATCGTGATTGGTCGTTTTGCTCCGTGATTAGGCAATATAATATTAAAAACCTATGTCAAATAATAACAAAAAATATCAAAAATGAACCCCCGAGTGGGAAAAAGAAGTAACGAATTTAGTGGGTGGTGAAAAATCAGAAAAAGAATTAAAAAAAGGTGAAATCAAACCGGATGGAACTTTAGTTACCGCCGAATCAGAAAAAATTAAGACTAATGATTTCGAATTATTATTAGGTCAAATTAAGTATCAAAAAGAACTGATTAAAACTAAAAAGGATGAATTAGCTAAAAAACATGGTTATGCCGATGAAGCCAAGCAAATTTTAAAAGAGATTAAAGAATTAGAACCCAAAGTTAAAGAATGAGACAAATTTGCGAGTTGATTTGAAAGTGCTTACCAAAAGTTCTTAAACGGTGGAACTGGTGGATATGGCACTAGTAATGTCGGTTGAAAGACTATCTTAAACACTTATTTACAAAGTAAGTATAAAAAAGTGGCTAACACTTCCCCGAGTGAAACCAATAACACTACTGCTACCGAAGATTATGGTAGCAATCTTTACGAGTTTTCGACTCGAACTGAAACTGATAATAATCAAATTAGCTATTGAAAATTAACCGAAAATGAAGTCATCAAACTAATTACTCGCACGGTTAAAGAATTAGGAGCGATTGATTATGATAAATTTGTCACTCATACTAATTCCAACACTCATCCCTTATCAACTAGTGCGAGTGAAATAGATAAAGCCGAATTCACCGCCAGCAAGTTACAAGGTTATTTAAAAGTTATCCAAGACCGAGCCAAAAACTTGGTCGATAACAAAATTAAGTCCGATAACCATCCTGATAAAGGAAAACCAGCCAATGGTCACCGAATCGAGTATAGTTTTGGACAAGATTTTACTAAATCTGGCACAAATACTCCTCAAGATAGTGCAAATTTTACTGAAACCGAGTTAATTGGTTTATTCAGATTAATGCGAGCTTGCCAAGACTCCACCTGAACCGGTCAGGCTAGTTTCCAAACTGCCACTGCCGGAGTTAAAAACGACACCCTAATTGTTTTACCAGCCAAATCTAATCCCATGAATAAAAGTGATTTCACTAACTTCACGCCGGAAGATTTAGGAATTCCAGTTGACAGTAGTGGTAAATCTAATTTTTATGCTACCGATTATGGAACTAAAATCAGTGATGAGGAGGAAGATAAAGTAGAATATAGTTGAGATACTAAAAAAGAGTTAAAAATTGAGTCAGGAATTGAAGGTTGAGCCAAATTGATCGAAGGAATTTCCCGCAAAGGACACAGTGATTACACTAATCGGCAAAAATTAATCAGTTCTTTTACTAACGATCCAGTCCGGCAATTATTCGCTGATATCCGAACTTATGTTCACAAAGATAATTCTTTAAAAACTGATAAAGATGGTAGTGGAACTTCCACTCCGGATTATGCTTGTTTTGGTTCAGGAACTAATCGCTGAACTTACCAGGAATTTCCGGACTTTGCCACCAGCGAAGAATCCCGCCTGAACGAGTATGAAACCGAAAAAGCCAGTTTATTAGAAGGAGTTAAAACCGGTCGAGAAAGTTTAAAAGCTGCTGAAAAAGCACTTGCCGAAGCCAAAAAAGAGTTAGTCAAAAAGAAAAAAGAGGTCGAAAGCAAAATAACTGAAAAAATAACCGAATTGAGGAAAAAGTTAGCTAATGATTGAAAAATTACTGCTACCGAATACCAAGGTTTTGAAAAAACTACTACTGCCGATAACCGAATAGAATTGACCGAGATTATTACCTTGGAAACTTTATTAGAAAAAATTAGGTATTTAGAAAACTTTAATGAAAATACTCCTAGTTCAGTAAATAATGAAGAGTTAGCTCGACAAGCCTTGGTTGATTTGCAAGCGGAGATTTTTACCAAACGTGATGAAACTAACAAAATCTATTTGGTTAGATATTTCCGAGATGGCGAAGGTAGGACTGAGATTGAAAAAATAGAAAGTTTTGAAAAAAGTTTTGGTTCCCAAGCAAAATGGGTTGTGCATACTCTGCAAGAAGTGGTGACTGGTTTCGATAACCTCGAAAATAAAATCAAGTTGCCTAATTATTACCTTGAAATGAAAAAGGCCATTAAAGATTATCTCGCCAAACAATCGTATAATGAAAAACCGACTGATTGACAAAACGACTCCGCTCTTGGCACTGATTTTACGGATGAAATAGTCGGTAAGTGAAAAACTACTAATAAATTCAAATCCATCGCTGAGGTTCGAAAACTACTCCAAGCGGTTCGAGAAACTGACAAAACCGATTTTCGAGAAGACTTCTTAAAATGATTAAAAGATAAGAAAATTGTGGAGGGCGATGACACTACTGAAAAAGGGATTGAAAACTGAAAAATCTTAGTAAAAAAAGATCCTCAAGCAGTGATCACTGCCATTGAATATTACAAATACGATAAATTAGCTGATGCTCTGAAAGCGGAAAAGAAAAAGCAACTAGTTTGAACCCTCGAAAAAAAAGATGATGCCGGTAAATATTTAGAGGATGCTGATTTAACCGAGGAGGAAATCAAAACTATCCTTTATGAATTAGCAGAAGGCAAAAAAACCCTGGCCAGCGAGAAAAAAGCCGATGAAACCAATGGGGACGACACTGGAAATCCCACTGATAAAATGAGCATCGCCAAAGAATGATTTGGTTTCGGTAGTGTAGGTAAATCCTTACTAGCCTATACTGGAATAATCGCAGTAGCTGTGGGAATAGTTGGGATGATCTTTTGAGAAAACGTTAAAACATGATGGCATGGAAAACCGGAGGAGGAAGTTAATGAAACTGAAGTTTCCGAAGAAAGTGAAGATGAGTAAATTCCAAAAATATTTATGATTCTTTCGAGGTCATGCCGTATTTTGAATTATCTTCTCTTCCATATTAACTTACCACAATCTAAACCTTCAAGAATACTTCGGTTTAACCATCAGCCTCTCCATCTTACTAATTGATCTAGGGGTTTGAACTTGGATCGAAATCAAAGTTATCAAAATATTAAAAGAAAATGAATAAAACTTACCAAATTATTATTAACGATCACCCCTTCACTCTAACTTTAACCCCACCACCCTCGTGGGGTTATTGTATCGGTTGTGAAAAAGATCAACCAATCAGAATTATTAGTCAACATCCAAACCAACTCAGTCGTAAATTCTGCCGTGCTTGTGCTTTAAAAAACTTGGAAGAACTATGAACTCAATCATTTACCAACCAAACTCAAATTATGCAAGAATTACGCCAGTTTTTACTAACTGATACTTGCGAAAAAACCAAAAGATTAGAATGTTATGAGTAATTTTAAATTCTCCCCCAAAACTTCTACTCCGCCCAATTCCATTGTGGCTTACTCCGAAATGAAAATTAAAACCCTAATTACCGCCATTGAAAAAAAACTAGACAAAAATCAACAAGACTTTTGAGTTTTAAAAACCCAATTAGACCAATGAACTGCTCGGGATTATTTGACATTTAGCACCGATTATGGCACCAGTGCTAAAACCAAATCTCTCCTCATTAACTATCCAGAAAGATTAATCAATCATTGAGCAGTTTTAACTATCAAAAAAAAAGATAATTTCGAAAAAGTGATTGACATCCAGTTAGAAAATTAACCTTTTGGGTTCTTTTGCCCTCCGCCCAAAATGAGTGAGAATTCATAAATAATTCAGTTTTTTATATATTAGAGGTCGGATTAAAGTGAGGGGTCTCTGCCATTTGAAAAGTGCCAAGGGTTTGTTAGTTTCTCCCTTTTACTAGTTTAACCAATAATGCGGGGGCATTAAGAATTTTGTCTAGTAAATAAAAAACTCAACTAGTGGACTATTTTAATTTAGGTATTTTCTTACCCACTAAACCACCCATCGGTTTTTGGTTTTTAATGTGGTATTAACTACCTTTTCGCTGATGGGTGGCCAGATGGGGGTTTTCATGAACCCCCCAAACCAATTTTTTCTAATGATGATGTCTTGTATATTTACAAATTTAGATGACCATATTTTTTACATTATCGAGAACTCCCAACTCGGAAAATAAAGAGGGTATTTTATGTATAACGAGTTCTTGCCCTCTCGTTCAAAAAAGGGCAAATTAAACATGGGGAAAAAAGAGAGTATTACGAAATAGAATACGTCCTTCTTTGTCGAGAGCTGAGAAGTGTTTATGGGTGCAAATCCCATTACTCTTACCATTGTTTTTGGGTATAAATTAGTCTAATTTGAACCTAACAACAGTGGGATTATCTTCGAGTTTTACCCGTTTCGCGAGATAATTGAGCCTGAGAAACTCCTACCACTTTAAATAAACTCATAAGAGGAAAACGGGTTTTATCCTCTTTGCTTCTTTTTTTCTTACCATTACTTCCTTTCATAAACTTTTAAATATTGCTGATAGTCGGTGGCTCGTAATTCCACCCGTTCATTTTCTCGCTTTCATAAGTCCTCATAAAACTTAATTTTGACACCTCGGCTTTTTAGTTCCTCAATTATCATTTCTGCTACGTTGAAGTAATTGTCAAATCCTCGCACCTCTGCGAAATATTTGCCATTTCATTCACTCCGCCAAGCTATAGCATCTAAAACTTTTAAATTTTCTTCGGTTGTGTTATTTTTAATGGTGCTTCTATTTTCCATAACGTTTAATATTCTTTCTTTATTTGTATTTGGTTCGGTCTCGGCTCCGACCTTGGAACGATTAGAGCCGAGAAGTTAGTTTTGGAGGAAATAAATAATCTATGATTATTTTATTGCCATTTGGAGGAAGTGAGAGGATTCGAACCCCCGAATATCTTTTTTACGGATATTGCTGCCGTTCTAAGACAGTTCCTTAAACCGCTCGGACACACTTCCTAATTTGGTAACGGATAAGGGATTCGAACCCTCAATATTTTTACATCTCTCGTAGTAAAACGCATTTCCAATCTGCTAATCCGTCTTATGATAACATTGGCGACAAATAATATTGCCAGTTTGATCTTGGCAAACTTGATAATCAATTACATTTTCAGAGCAATTAAAACATCTAAAATACATTGTTTCACCATTATTATGTTCTTTTCTCATTTGGGCGATTTCCCTATCTCTTAAAATTTTGGTTAATCTTAAAAAAGTTTCTTTTGGCTCATGGTATAAATGTTCTACACAATAATAATCTCAGCGTCACGGAGTTCTTAATTTTTCTTGTTCTATTTTTTTTTCTAATCTTTCAATTTCCGCAATATCTTGGGCGGTTAATTTAGGTTTA